CTCGCGTTGATCTGGACCGTCCATCGTGATCGATCTCGTCCGTCCAATTGTGTCTAAGGAGAAAACGAATATGAATCGTTCATTGCGACTAATCTCGACCGTCCGATCGCGCCTAAGGGAAAAACGGATCCAGGTGGTCCACGTATACAGGATCAATCCTTGGCCGTCCAATTGCGAGGCACGTGAATTGCCAACGTGGCCTCCCGTGTGGCACTGACGTCAGCGCGCCTTGCCACGCGGCACACTCTAGTTTATCGAGACTGCTGACTGGGCGATTCTACGTAGCTGAACTTTATCTATTTCTAATTTTTCTTTCAAAAATATTCTCAAAACCTAAATTTTCACATTTTTAAAAAAAATTATTTTCAATCTCATCCCTAATATATTTATTTTTTTCAAAATTTCACTTAAATAAAAATAAAATAAAATAATTAATTATTTTAAATTAATAATTAAAGAATAAAAAATTTATCTCAGATTGTTTTTCGGACCCAAATATTACATTTTCTTAAAAGTTCTCTTAAATTTAAATTTTGTACATAAAAAATGTAAAAAATGTAAATATTCATAAACTTCCTTTTTTGAACCGTCAAATCCAAACAGTCCTCGAATGGACTTTATAAAGGCCCAAGTGTTAGAAATAGGTGAATAGTTAGGACGCACGTCATCGAAACTCCGGAGCAGGGAAGATGAGCATATCAGATTCAGAACTGCCGAGGAAGGAGGCCAACGTCCTCAAAGGGCACGAAGGTGCTGTTCTAGCCGCTCGATTCAACGCCGACGGCAATTATTGCCTGAGCTGCGGCAAGGACCGTACTATTCGCCTTTGGAACCCTCATCGTGGCATCCACATCAAGACCTACAAATCCCATGGCCGTGAGGTCCGCGACGTTCATGTCACCTCGTACTACTCTCTCACCTTCCTCTTTCAACTTCATTTTGCTCTTATTGGATTCCGCAATTCCCTATTCATCGGCTTTTATGTCTCAGTTCTACCTGAATCAATCACAGGGACAACTCCAAATTCTGCTCATGTGGTGGCGACAGGCAGATATTTTATTGGGATGTAGCAACCGGCCGTGTAATTCGCAAGTTTCGTGGTCACGATGGGGAGGTTCTCTATTTCTTCTGTTGGAGGTTACAATATAACGTTTATTGGGAATTTGTTTGTGTTTGCCTTGTGTTTCTAATTTTACTTTTGGATGAATTTTCCAGGTAAATGCAGTGAAGTTTAATGAGTATGCAGGTGTCGTAGTATCAGCAGGCTATGATCAATCACTGCGTGTTTGGGACTGCAGATCCCACAGCACTGAACCTATACAGGTTGGCCTTTTTCGTTTCCCTTCCATTTTAGGAAATTGATGATGTATTATACATTCTTCATTCTTCTGGGTATATATTGACGCGTCCTAGAAAATTTTGGATTGGTGCCTAGATAATTGATTCATTTTCAGACACAGTCATGTCTGTTTGCATAACAAAGACTGAATTAATTGGTGGGAGTGTTGATGGAACCGTTCGAACATTTGATATAAGGATTGGTAGGTATGTAACTCTGTTCTGAAGAATTCAGAGAACAGTCTTTGTATTCAATATCATTTAATGATGAAAGTATACTTGAAAGTTTGGAAGGTTCTCTCCTGTGTTCTTAAATTTTCTTTTCTACTTCATTCGTACAGAGAAATATCAGATGACTTGGGACAGCCAGTTAACTGTATCTCAATGTCAAATGATGGTAACTGCATATTAGCCGGTTGCTTGGATTCTACCTTACGGCTTCTGGACAGGTAACCAGTACCTTTTTGTGCAAATATATATATCAGTAAATATGGATTCGCTTACACTAGCATTTCATGCCTCATGGCAGGTCTACTGGAGAACTATTGCAAGAGTATAAGGGCCACACTTGCAAGGTTAGCATGCAAATGCACCTCAGGCCTTATAGTTTTTTTTTTTAACCTAATCTTTCTTTACTTAGGTTATCTCAGTTCAAATTCTTTACATTCAATTTTGATCAATTTTGTCAATTAAATCTCCATTCATTACAGAGGAAGGACAAAGAGGGTCCATTAAAGAAATTTTTTTTACTTATAACAAGGCCAGGTTGGAGGTTTGATGAGCATGGCCCTCCTAACATAAAGATTTATTCTCCTAGTACAAGATAACTTTAGGTCACGCTTTAAACTTGGCCGTTTGAAATATTGCTATCGCAAACTTTCTTATCCATATGTTTGATTTAAACAGTGGAGAAATGTGACTATTTCTTGTGTTCTTTTACTCAGAATAGACCCTAGCCAGAAGAAATAGTTAGTATGTTCCATACCAATCCCAGTTGTTTTAATCAACAATCAATTGTTTGGATCTCCCCTATGTTGAAAACCCTTTGTTGGTAACCTGAAGATTTTCTAAATGTCTTTAAATATATACATATATATTTTGGGATGTCTTTAAATATATAATAATACGATTGATGGCAACATTTACTCTGGTGTCTCTTGAAAAAAGTTTCTGGTTCCATCACTGCCTTAATTTTGGTACATGTCTGTACTTCTACTTTCATGCACGTTATAATCTTTAGTTTTTGTTGCCTCAGTCATTCAAAATGGACTGCTGCCTTACAAACACTGATGCTCACATTACTTGTGGATCCGAGGATGGTTCAATTTTCTTCTGGGATTTGGTAGATGCATCTGTAGTGTCAAAATTTCGGGCTCATGCTTCGGTGGTAAAGTGTTTATTCCTTAAGACACTGTCTTTCGTTTGATTCTGAAATCCTTTACATACTATATTTCTTGGTCTAGTGTCTTTAATTTTGTTAGGATTTTTTTCAGAATAAAAAGATAGATAAATTTCTATTGACTTCACCTACTCAAAAATTAACAATTTAAAGTGTTTTTAAATAGGTTTATATCAAATTCAAATTTTTTAAAAATAATTTACTATAATAAAAGATAAACATTAACCAAATCTTTTAAAAAATAAATTTTTACTAATAATATGATATTTAAAAAATAAATATGTTCTAAATCTAATTAAATAGAAATTTTATTTGAATTCAAATTAATAGATGAAATAAATTTAATTTCTACATAGATTTTTAACAAATTTCCAGAATATTTTATGTCAGTATCCTTTTTGATTTTTCCTTTTCCATAAACTAGTTTCGTAGAGTAATTTAAATAAGCTTGAGGAAAGCTTGTTGAACTGGTTTGAAGTTAGACAGCCATGATATTACTAGCATCAGACATTCCAATGTTAGCGTTCAAACAATTGCAATTAGGATTTTGGGGATAGGTTAATGTTAAAAAGGATTAAAACAGTGAACTTTCTCAGAGTATTGAATTCTATAGGTAATTGCAGCCTTGTTATGGAGGGAGTATAAGATGTCATTCTGTCATAAATATGAAGATGTTCCTAAAATTAATCATGAAGTTGCACTGTCTATTGATTTGTTTTCTCCAAGCTCTTATACTGGCTTGACTTTTAAGCTGTTATTTCAGTTTCTTCATGGTGGATTTGAGCTTTCTTTGGCATCTTATTAGACGTGAATCCTGTTGCAATACTTTTTGATATGATGGATCAAAATTGTCTCTAATGTACATGAATTATGATCTGACAGATAACAAGTGTGAGTTATCACCCAAAGGACACTTGTATGATAACTGCCTCTGTTGATGGCACTATTCGGGTTTGGAAGGTATGAGAACCTAAAACTATTTGGTATTGCCCTACTCTGACACTGTTGTTGAAAGGATTTGAAAATTCTATATATATATCTGCTGTAAATTATTTTATGGGATATTTAGTTTTGCGAACATTTTATGGGTCAACTTTTTAATATTAATATTATTATAATTCGAATCTGCTTACGCATTGTACACTCAAATCTGCTTATTTATGGAAATTACACACACAATTAAGGGTTTAAAAAGACAGTTCAATTAAGAGTCTTAATATCTTTAATTTATATTTGGTTTAAGTGGGTAACAAATTCAGTTGTGTTTAATGGAAGAGATAATAACTGTATATGTATACTTACAGCATACTCATTAAAAAAAAGTATAACATTAACGTAATAGGTGTACATTGTGATTTTAGTTTTAAAGAGTAAAAATACAATTTAGTTTTAGTCTCAACTAGGGCTTGCATTGATCTGACAATATTATTAATAGTCTTAGTGGAGTCCCTCTATTACATATTTTTGACTAAATAAAGAAAAGGAGAAGTATTTGGTGCATACAGAAATAGCTTCAATAATTTATACTATTATTGTTAGTGAAGATATAAACTATTATAATTAAATTAAATAAAAAATTAACAAAATTGAAATAAATATGAATGGAATTTATTAATCTAATAGCAGCGAGTTTAATACCCAATACATACATCCCAATCTAATCTAATGCAGTTTGTTGGTGGGTAAAGAGCAGGTGGATTTAGATTTGATATTCTAAAATATGTTCCCAACACAATTTAATGTATATAATATTTTTTTTTTATGTAACAACATAATTTGGAGGGAATGAAAACAGCAATTTAATAAAATGTTGTTAATTTATGTCACAACAATCGTTTTATCATTTTCTATTTTAAATATTATATTATTTAATCTCAAGTATAATGTTCTAAAACATTTTTGTTAAATTTATACTTTTGTTTAATTTATTAAGAAATTTACATCTCATAAAAACAATAAAACAAATAGTAATTATTTTGGAACGTGATTATTTTTTCTCCACTTCCGTTTATAGCTCGGGCCCAGGCCCAGGCCCAGACCCAATCTCGTTTGAACCCGTCCGTACATGCGCGAGTGGGCACCTACTAAATGTTAGCTACTCGCTTTATAAGCCAATCCGAAATATCTGACAGATTCTGTGGCTTGCAATTCACATTGCCAACTGTCTTGTCCCAAATTTAAATTAGTTTAATAATTAATTAGTCAGTGGGTCCCACGTGAGCTGCAACTTCCTCAATTGCCTTTGGTCCTACCACGTGGCATGTGCCGGTCAAAGACCACCGCATTTAATCTCCTCATTCTGGCTTTTAGTAGAAAATAAAATAAAATAAAACAAAATGATAAATAAAGATGAAAAAAATTTTAATAATTAAATTAGTTCATTTCGATTTAAAATATAAAAAAAAAAAAACTCAACATTGTAACTAAATTGCCAAATCACTTTTTTTTTTTCGTTTTTTTTATATTTTTAGATTTAAAATTTTTCATTCTTTTAATTTTTTTTATGTAATTTTTTAAAATATAATATTATATATTAATTTTAAGTTAGGTAAAATTCAGAATTTAAATTTTTATCATAAATTAGAACTTAAATATTATTATATTTAAATATGTTAGTCTTTTGATCAGATCATTCAATAATCTTTTTTCTATTATTTTTAACATATCTACGTATTTATTCCTTTTAATACTATTTTATTTTCAAACTTTAATTGTAAAATACAATTCCATTTATTTATTAAATTTTGGTTTAACTTCTTTGAAAAAACTATAATTTTTCTTTTAGAAAACTCACACTAATTAATCGTACGGTTAATAAACAGAATGATACAAGTTAAAACTCATTTAACTAATTATGGATAGATTCATTTAGAGTTCAAGAGATGAATTTCATATTATATAAATTTAAAATTACAATATAAGTTTTTGACCTCTAAAACTATTTATAATCCAGACATTTGCTCAATTATCATTTTTTATCTTTTTAAAACTTCAATCTTCATTATCCCTAAATTCCCTATAATTTTTATACATGAGATAATGGCTTTATATTCGAACATAAAGGGGTTGAGGGAGTAGTTATGATCAGTCTAATTGAGCAATTCTTCATTTATCTAGAAATACATTCATTGCATTACATGAAAAGGTTTTATAATCCTTTAGCTTATTTTGAGAAGTAGCAACCCCTTAATTCTTTGTTTTACTAAACATGATTTGTAAATGCTCAAAATCTTAAAAAAAAAAGAATATATATTGTAATGGCAGAAGCAAATAATAATTAGGTGTTTACATTCTTTTCACAATCAATTAGGATGTCCAGTAAGAATACATAAATATCCCTTTTAAATAAATTAAAATAATAAAAACATAAATAAAATTAAAATTTTATGGGGTTAACCTCTACTGGTAACTTTGATAGGGTACGAGATGTCACCTTTACTCGCAACCCTTCTACTATTCAGAATTTGGATCTTGATCTTCTTGATTTAAAATTGTTAAATAGGAGAATGAGCTACACTAGTCAGTAAGAATATTATTGGTACGAAAAATTAAAAGTTGCAAATCATAAAACAACTAATGGAATCATTGATTTAAGTAAATTATTTTAGTATAAAATTATTTATTCTATATTTACCGTTATGAGCTCCGAAAATCGACATATGAAGACAATAACTCAAATAACATTGTGATTTCATATCCAAATGAGTAAGAATAACAACTTACCTTTTTTACCTGTTTACCGGTACCTTTGGGGATCCATAGGGATGTCTTTCTATGTATGAACCCAATATCCAAATTTGTCAATTAATCGACCCTTTCCATACCCCGTATGGTAATGGGCATCAAACATACCATTGTCTCGATACCCTGTCCGGTATGAGAGTGAAATATATTTTCCAAACCCTTCCAGTATATGACTTCTTAGTCCCATCCGACTGAGATAATATTCACGGTAGGATTTTTCCTTATGTACCGGATCCGTCCACCCTTTCCCAAGGTACCTAGTAAGCTTTCCATACATAGATTCATATCATCAACCAATCACTAATTAGATACCGATATCTTATATTTATAAATTAACAATCAGTCATGTAAAGAGACAATACGTAAATCGAGATAACATGATTGAGACATTCATTACAAAACAAACCAACGATGAGGGCTACGCAGTTAGGAAACAAAATAACCGAGAAAATAATTAAAACTAGTAATTTAAAGTACACAATATAACAATAAGCATTATAGGCAATATAGAAGAAAATAAACAGTAAACTATTACAAATATACACTTATCAGTTCTAACTCCACTAGTGATTTGTAATTAATTTTTAAGTTTTTTCTAATTTTGACAAAACACAATGTTATTAATTGTTAAGATTCAATTTACCGTAACAGAAAAAATGGTGAGTGATTCTTACCCCGGATCGGTATCCGAAATATCGTACTTTCCACAGCGCCTCTTGGTAGTCCCCAGATTTTTTGAATTTTTTCTGTGAAAATTAAAATACCCGTCACGTATCCAAAATATCTCAAAATGTTAAAATAGACGTTTTAAAATTTTTTTTTTTCCAATTTTAGTGTTCCAATATGGTGGCACGGCACCGGCTCTGCTGTCTATGATGGCGGTTCGCCTCGGTCTAGCTATTTTTGGCCGGTTTTAGCCAGTTTTGACCGGTTTTACACATAAACCTACGAAAAACCAAGTTATGAGGCCTTGGTCACTTAAAAAATACAAAAAAATCGACACCCTATTGGCGGAAGGTCTCTGGGTGCAGCGGCTCCGTCGTTCCTTCTTCGCAGCCAGGGTTCTCCTTCGGCTAACCTGTACTAGAAAAAGACGAGGAACACAATGGTCAAAAAATTGAGAGAAATAGGAAACATGAAGGGGGTTATCAGAGAGGTTTTTTAGTTATGGCCATAGTGGCTCGACCGAGCTCTGCTCGTGTTTCTAGCTCACCCATTGTCCTTTTTGCTCCGATATGGATGTGGGGAGGCTCGGAATTCAATTCTTAGGGGAATGAAAAAAATTTTACCTCCTTTGGTTTCAGTGGTGACTCTGTTGCGGCGACAATGGCATCCCTCCGGCAAGTGATCTCTCCGGTCACCCTCTTTCTTCTTCTTCGGTCAGGGTTGTCGGCTAGGGTTTTTGGGACCGACTGAAGAAAGGTTTAAATACCTATCGTCTCTCTGATCCTGACTGTTCATCTACATCGACGTAGAGTGAGGAGAGTCGTCTGATCATTACCTATTTAAGCCGATTGCATTGGCAAATCTGGACCATCCATCGTGATTAATCTCATCCGTCTGATCGTGTCTAAAAAGGGAATGCATTTGGATCATTTGTGCACGAGGATGCAATCTGGCTCGTCGGATCATCCAGATACATAGATCGCCTGTGTGGAGTCGACATCAGCGTGTCTGCCACATGACGCATTCTATTTCATCATGACTGCTGCCAGGGTCATCCCACGTGACCATACTCTCCCTTTTTGCAATTTTATCTCTGTTTTCAATTTTTTAAAAAAAAAAAAAAACACACTCCTTATTCAAAATTTCACATCTTTTCTCCACAATTATTTTTAGTTTCGTCCCTAATTATATTTTTATCAAAAATTCTAAAAATTAAAATAAAATAAGATATAATTATTTATAGATTTTTTTATTAATTCAAAAAAATTATCCTGGGTGTTACATAATTGGCAAAGTTGAAGAATCAATGATACAAGGTTAACACAATAGTAGATTTATATTAAAGGGAAAGCTTAACTTTTTTTCTCTAATACTATAAGAGATAAACAATAATTGATACGTAGAGAAAAATATTTTTCCATAATTATTCATTATTATTGTTAACTCTTTGATTTTTTTGGTACTAAAGATATTTAACAAATCTAAGCTTAAAACCCTAATTTGAGTGGAGTTATAAAGTTTTTGTTAAAGGATATTTAAAAGAAGTTGCAAGAAAAAGTTTTAATATCCTCATAATACATGTGAAAAAAATAAATTGATATTGTCTTCTAGGTTTATTCTTACTATATATCTTTTACGATTAATTAGCTTGTAGTCATAAGAATGTCTCGTATTATTATTTAG